GTTAAAATACTTCTTGTTGTTTAGACCATTGTCAGCTGGTTGGTTTCACTGTCTCTTTTTCAGAAATGAGCCTGTTTCACACATTCAGCCTACTTTTTCCCCAACCAGCAAGTTTTGAGTTTTACCCACTTTCACACTTGGATAATAAGTTGTTTTTTTGGAAAATTTCTGAGATTGTGGTCCACACTTTATAAATTGATTAAGATTATTTCTTTAAAAAAACATAATCATCTTTTGTTTAGTATAGGGACAAAAGGGTTATTCTTAACAAGTTGGATGAATTGGCTGCTGTCATGGCTTATAAATGTAAACGCCTTTCCTTGCAAACTTCAGGAACTACCAGCCTAGATTTGATAAATGTCTGAGAGGAGTTCTAAAATGATTATTTTGTGTGTTGGGTGGGGGAATCTTTGGATCTGAGCAGATGAAGAAGAGTTTACAGAAATATGTCAATGAAAAAGAAGAAACACTGATATTTTCTCTAGACACATAATATAAAATACTTTTTATACAAATATCAGGTTAAAGAATGGGTTATGTTCCACCCCCCCCCCCAACCAAAGTTGGTTTGGTTCAGTCCCAGTGAACAACTAATCTTATTTGTAAAAGGTAAATCATTAATGGAAAGGAAAAGGCTTACAGTACTTTGTGCTTATGGCATTAAACTCAACCTTGTCAATTAAAAAGCTATGAACATATTCAGGTAAGATTTTCATAATAGAATAATGATCAATATTTTACAGTATAGGTATTTTCTAGATTGTGGTTTTATAGCAATAGAGCTAAAAGTATTTTTTTTGCTTTCAGAATATATCCTTTTCTAAACTTAGTCTGGAATTTGGACTTGTTTGTTGTGAAGCGTGTAAAGAACAGAGCTTTTTGGAATAGAGCCTTGCAATTTTGCTAGGTTAAATAGGTGAATTCATCACAATTTCATACCTATTTTATTAGAATCAAAGAAGTAGCATAGTATTTATTAAGCCATTTGAAAATTGAGAGAAAGAATACGCAGAAGCTCTTTCATGAATCTTGTAGAAGTGCACATACGAATTATTTATTTATTCAGTTTCTGTGGCCACCCATCTCAGTCAATAACTCATTTCATGAACTTATTTTCTTAAAACGGGTTTGGAAGTCAAAATCAGACTGGGGACACAATAGCATGAGGGAATAAATGGCAGAGGAGATGTTTAATTCTTTCTATTCCTGATCAGTTTTCCTGACAGATGGTTCCTTCCCAGTGTCTGGGGAAAGAGGCTAAATTTTTCAAGCCATAGTCCATGTAATCTCTTGAGAAACTATTAAAATGTATGATGTGCCTATGCTCCTTTTGTACTCTTCCCGGGCTCTCAAAATAACATTTCTTACTGAGAATTATAGTTCTGAAGAGATAGGATCTTTTAAAAACAAAGTGTAATATTATGTTGCTTCCGATTTATGAACAAGGTTTTTTTTATTTATTTACTTATTTATTAAATGTATATGCCACCTATCTTGCTGTTCAAAGTGACTCTTGTTTACCTAAATTAGATCTAGATGATGATTACAATTAAGTATAGTCGTATTTCATTGAAATTTCTGTGTAGAATGTATAATATGTATTATAATATGTATATGCTTCTCATGCATGTATATATAATTAGACAACCTATGAGCCATTAGGTCATTCTTTCAGAGGTATTTCCTTACCTATATCAAGAAACAGAATGACCGTGGGCAGGCAAAAAAGCAGTGGGAGTGGGAATAGCGTTAACTTCCCCTTTGCCTTTGCTTGCGAGAAGCTGGCAGGGAACATTGGACCTCATGATCATGTGACTTCAACTAACTGCAGAAACCTGCAGCCGTCACAACTTTGTGAATACAACTGGTTTGAAGCGCCTTAAAATTTCCATTACACAGGAGTAACATGAATTGTTTTGTACGAATTGTTTAATTTAGCAGATTTGCAGTACTTTGATTCAGAAATGTTTGCCTTATGATGCATTGTTTGAGCTAATTGAAGGTTACAAAGAGTTTTAGTAGTATATAAATACATGCATAAAAAGTTTTCATTTTTCTATTTTTTGTTTGTTTAATCAAAGGCATAAAAATTCAAAAAATTAAATACGGTTGTTGTTTAAGAAACACTTTGTACATAGTTAAATTCTGTTATACTGTCAAAATACAACAAATGAGATCTGTGCAGAAAATTGGAATTTGACTTACAGTAATACTTTCTATGAATGAAAAGAGCAATGTGTTGAATATTTTGACAGCCGAGAAACCCATTTTGTGTTTTTCCTCCAGATTGCTGGAGACTGACAGCAAATCATTGAGATCGGTAAATGGATCAAGAAGAAACAGTGGCTCCTCACTTGTGTCTAGCTCATCGGCTTCTAGCAATCTTAGCCATCTTGAAGAAGATTCCTGGATGCTCTGGGGGAGAATAGTAAATGAATGGGATGATATCCGCAAAAAGAAAGAGAAACAGATTAAGGTTTGTTGAGTGTTGTTATTCAGTATTAGGGTGGTTGTTATGGGAAAAATAGGAGGAGGAAGCAGTGGTGGGATTCAAAAATTTTTACTACCGGTTCTGTGGGCGTGGCTTGGTGGGCGTGGTGTGGCAGGCGTGGCAGGGGAAGGATACTGTAAAATCTCCATTCCCACCCCACTCCAGGGGAAGGTTACTGTAAAATCTCCATTTCCTCCCAATCAGCTGGGGCTCGGGAGGCAGAGAATAGATGGGGGCAGGGCCAGTCAGAGGTGGTATTTACCAGTTCTCCGAACTACTCAAAATTTCCGCTACCGTTCTCCAGAACTGGTCAGAACCTGCTGAATACCACTCTGGGAAGAAGGTATGTTGGATATGTTTGCTGCCTTCAATGATTTGTAAGAATAATAAAGGCGGGATGCAAATAAGAATAAAATAAATAAGGCAACAACAATGTAAGAATTTTAACTATAGTAAGCCATCTGGTTTGCATTTGGCTGGTGATTTTTTTTTTTAAATTCTAGGATTATTGGGTAGATTTCAATTTTCACAACCTTGTAGACAGTTGCGAACTTTGTCCATAACTAAAGCTCATCAGGATTTTAAAAACATATATATTTTGCTCCTTTAGGAACTTGTTCGAAAAGGGATACCACATCATTTCCGAGCAATAGTTTGGCAGCTTTTGTGCACAGCTCAAAATATGACAATTAAGGATCAATATTCAGAACTCTTGAAAATGACTTCGCCTTGTGAAAAGCTCATAAGAAGAGACATTGCTAGAACGTATCCTGAACATGACTTTTTTAAAGAAAAAGATAGCTTTGGGCAGGAGGTTTTATTTAATGTCATGAAGGTAAGTTATCAACCTAATGTCTTAATGGATAATAAAAAGGTTTACTTCCTGCATATAAATATTATTGTTATCTTCATTTACTTCTGAATATTAGATACTGGAGATGAGGAAAAGGCCATGCCCATCTAATACCCAGTCCTTTGCTGAGGTGGTATTCTAGAGTCTTTCAATCTTATTGAGGGATTCTTGTTTTACTGTGTATAATTAATAAAGCACAGTGATTTGCCTTGCTTTTCTGTACTATGTGGGTAATAGCTAACGAAAGCATTTATTGGACATTATTATAAGACTTCCTTAAACTTCACTAAAAATGAGGCGGTAATTGTTTTGAACCAGGAGTAGAAAAAAGATGGCTTGATGTTAGGTGCTCATCCAACTAAAGTCAGGTGCAGGCTGTACACATCTCTAGGGCAGTGGTGGGTTTCTACCAGTTCGCCCCAGTTCGGGCGAACCGGTAGCAGTGGCGGGAGGCTCCGCCCATCCACCCGGACCTCATCACGGATGCTCTGCGCATGTGCAGAAGGTTATGTGCAGAAGCGTCCCCGCGCACACTCACAGTTCTGAACTGGTAGCAAAGATAAGTGAAACCCACTACTGCTCTAGGGCAGTGTTTCTCAACCTTGTCAATTCTAAGAAGTGTGAACTTCCAACTCCCAGAATTCCTCTGGGCTGAGAATGAGAAACACTGCACTAAGGAGATATCATTCCAGGGGTCAGTCTCTGTGATAGAGTAGGATCATTTTTTTGGATCCTATCAGATAGCCTACCTGATGGAAACTGAACATTGATGGATCATATAGGACAAGCAGCAACTACAAAGACATCTTTCAAATAACTAGACTGTATGCCATTAAGAGTTTTATAGGTGATAATCAGCATACTGATTTGCACCTAGACTAGTAGTAATCAATATGTGTCCTAGAAAAGAGGTGTTACATAAACATATTGAGACACCCAATAACTTGCACATGCTACTGCATTCTGGACTAGCCATAGCTTCCAATTGTCTTCAAGGGCAGTCTTATGTAAAGTATATTGCAATGGTTGAAATGTGAGATCACCAAAGCATGAGGGACTAAGGATCTTCCAGTCCAAATACGGGCTCAAATGGCAAACTAAACTAATTCTCCGCTAAAACTTTTCTAGGCATGGTTGCTGCTTGAGTAGGAATTGTGGTCCAAGAAGGATCCCAAATGTGATGCCAGTCTAAATGGGGGCAGTGTAACCTGGGAGTAAACAGGGAGGGACTACTCAGGGTACCGTCAGTCAAATTATGCCGACTGGCGACTCCCAGGGGAGGGCCTTCTCTGTGAGGGCTCCAACCCTTTGGAATGAACTGCCCCTTTAGATACGAAATATCCCTGATCTCCGTGCTTTCCGCCGTGCCCTCAAAACCCTGATGTTTCAACAGGGGGGGCTAAACATATGGACATGTGAATGTTTTTAAAATGTTATCTAATTTTAGGTTCTATTTAATTGGGCCAAACTATGTTATAATAATAATTTTAATTAGCAATTTTATGATGTTTGTGTATCTATATTTTTCTTGACTGTACACCGCCTTGAGTCCTACGAGAGAAAGGCGGTATAGAAATAAAATAAATAAATAAATAAATAAATAAATAAATAAATAAATAAATAAATTTAGGATTAAAGACAGAAAATATCCAGATCTTGATAGCCATAGCTATAGTTTTAATACATTCATAATCTTACACAGTCTTAAGATTTAGATGCTTAATGCAATCTTTTCACCACTTAATGTCTCTGAGTCCCTCTTAAAAATAGGTCCTTGACACACTTATGGGTACAATCCTCAAAGTTATGAAGGTTGCACTCCTACTTTGGTAAACTTTCCCCAGATAGCGTTCTCTTGACTTGTTGGATTTCAACCGTATTTGTCTTGTGATCTGAAAATGCTTCAGAGTCCATGAACTTTTAACCTGCTTTGTATGTAGCTATGTGAGAAAGACATTTTCATCTGTAAATGAAAAAATATATAACTGAAATGTTGGAATAAAAAGGTGAGCTTTAGAAAATACAAAAGGCTTCACGGTTTCAATTAAAACCCCTGATATTAGAGACGGAATTAACTATTGTTGAAAGGTTAGCACATCTGCTGTAGATTCCCAAGACAACTTATCTTAGATAGCTTGTCTTATGTAGCAAATTGGATGTTTTGTTATAATTGAAAACACTTTCCTTTCTTTATATTACATCTGCTGGCTAATGTAAAACTAACTAAAGGAGATTTTTTTTTTTTTAGAAAATAAATTGAAACATAGTGACTAGAATGTAGGAAACTGTCATATAATCTGTTGATTGAACTAGCTAATATTATTAAACATGCATTGAATGATAGTGACATGGAGCAAGCCCTGTTCTACACTGTTGTCTCTTTTCTGACATATAAGGAATAATGGTGCTTGGGATTCTAATTTATTATGGTGCTTGTCATGGAACACGAAAATTTTTCTGCATTTTATTGAATAAAGTTTGAAAGTTATTAAAACGAATTTTATTTAAAATCCTTCTTCAAAATATAAATATGTAATTTACTATTATATTATCTGTATAAAACTATAATTAGTTATTCCTCTCATATCAAGTTAGAAACTGGGTTCTACTGGGCTGTGGTCTAATTGCCAACAGGCAGCATGGAGTGGCCCCACTCGCATGAGCGTCACCGCAAGTGTCGCAGGTGGTTCAGCCACACTTGTACGAGCGTCGTAGACAGTCCCCACTCTACTTGAGCGAGTGTCATCTCACAGGCACATGCGATCCCACTCGTGTGAGCCTTATTGTGGGCACTCACAGCCCCACTTGCATAAGTGTCATCACAAATGTCATGGGTGCTCACATGTACGCATACTCACACATATGCGCCTGCCCTTCCCATAAAACCATCCCCTCTTTCCCCCCTCCTCCTGCTCTGGGCCGCCAACCTGGAAATGTTAGGGAATTCTGGTATAATCTGCAGACATTTTCTCTATTTTAGTGGCATTCGCATCTTCACCTCAAGATAAAAAGCATTAAGGTTATTTGGGAAAGTCAATGTTGATATTCATTATTCTTTCTAAATGTTACCCTCTTATTAATGTTTTCTAGGCATATTCTTTAGTGGATCGTGAGGTTGGTTATTGCCAAGGAAGTGCTTTTATTGTTGGTCTGCTCCTTATGCAGGTAGGAAGAAAGAGCCTCCTATTTCAAAAGTTATCTTGAAATTCTACTACTTCATTTAAAGTAAGAGAGTAATAATAAAAGGAGGGGCAATATTTACAAATTAGAACTCCCTCATATTGGGAGTTGTCATAATTTATCACAGATGTATATATTTTTCAAGTCACACTCTAAGTTTTTGGGGTTGAGTTAAGGTTTGAAGATCTTGTTAATTTTTCTTCTCTTCTGCAGGCAACTATATACACTGCTCAAAAAAATAAAGGGAACACAAGCAGAAGGCATCCAAGATCTGAATGAATGAAATAGCCTTATTAAATACTTTGTTAATTACATACAGTAGTTTTGTGTTCCCTTTAGTAGTTTGAACAGTGCATAAACTACTGTATGTAAAGAACAAAGTATTTAATAAGGCTAGTTCATTCATTCAGATCTCGGATGTCTTCTGCTTGTGTTCCCTTTATTTTTTTGAGCAGTATATTATTCCCTTGCTTGCTAAAAGGGAGAAAATCCCATTACATCTGACTTTTTTTTTTATTTAAAGAGTTGTTCTAGAACAGTGAAGGTGAACCTTTGCGATTCTATCACAAATTCACGCTCGACAATCAACTGGTCGGCGTGCATGCGCAGGCCAGTTTTTGGCACTGCCACGTGCGCGAAGGGATCGCGCTCAAGAAAAGCCCAACTTCCGGGTTCTGGCACACATGCGCACCTGACAATCAGCTGACTGGCGCATATGCTTACACTGGTTTTGGCAGTGCTGCACACGCGAAGGACAGCTGATCGCCTGTGCATGTGGACAAGAAACCGGGAACACAAACAGACAAGGCCGCGCATGCCTGGCAACATGGCTTTGTGTGCCACTTTGGGCACGTGTGCCATAGGTTTGCCATCGTGGTTCTAGAACATAGAAACAGGTCGTCTATGGGAGAAGATTTCTAGAGAATTGTAACATCTTCCAGCAAGACATATATAATCTCATTCACAAAGATACTAAACCATAACTCTTATGTGGTTTGATTATAAATCAAAGGGATTTTTTTTCAACATGAGGTCACGGTTAACACCAATTCCAATGGTGTTTTATGTATGTGAGCACTGTATTAGATAACAGTAGAAAAATTGGTTACAATGTTTTTTATTGCCAAGAAATTATTAGAGTTAGGAGTCCAGTGTAGAAAGACCCAGGATTGTTATGTTAATCGCAGAACATATTTACTCAAATTGAGAAAAGAAAGAGGAGACTTGCTCACATCTGCAGTGCCATTTGCTTACCATACATAGGGAGGCTGTAAGGACCTGAGAATACCAACAGTATTATTTCTTCAGTTCTTTAGATGCTGCAATAAATATATAGTGCTGCAGTTTAACACATCTTGTTAAAGGCTTGGCAGGTGTAATTTTTTCCAGATACATCTCTTGAATTACACCTGCAATTAAGTGGTGTTGAAAACGTCTTGTGAACTTTTGAAGTGCTTTGTAACGAAGAAGGTTAAGCTGTGATTGTAATCTCCTTCAAAATAGATGCCAGAAGAAGAAGCCTTCTGTGTATTTTTTAAATTAATGCAAGATTATCGACTTCGAGAACTCTTCAAACCAAGTATGGCTGAGCTGGGGCTTTGTATGTATCAATTTGAATCCATGATACAGGTACATTAAAAAAATCTGTTATCTCTTGCCTATATCTATGTTTTTAAGCAGTAGATTTAAAAAGCTGAGTGCATAAGCATTAATTAATTGCAAAAAGGTTTCAATAGTTGCAGAAAAATGCCGAAGTATGAAATGTAGAAAGCAATGGTACTATCATCTATGATTTTTAACACATTGTCTTTTGTATTTTAAACATGTTCTCTATGTAAAATGTTTTAATGAGATAACAGTGCTTCACTTCTAAATATAAAAATGGTTTAATGCAGTGGTGAAATCCAAATTTTTTTACTACCAGTTCTGTGGGCTTGGTGGGCGTGGCAGGGGAAGGATATTGCAAAATCTCCATTCCCTCCCCACTCCTGGGGGAAGGATATTGCAAAATCTCCATTCCTACCCCACTCTTTGCCAGTATTTGCCAGTTCTCCGAACTAGTCAAAATTTCTGCTACCGGTTCTCCAGAACCTGTGCTGGATTTCACCCCTGATTTAATGTTCTTTTAAATAAATTCTAATGATTTTATCTCTAATAATCTCTACTAATAATTTCTAATGACATATGAAATCTTCCAGATTGGATTTCAAATTCCAATGTCTAACTATGTAAAATATTTTAAAATACATATTTCAGAAACATTATTGAAAACAACTGTTTGATTTGTTTCTTCTTTCAGGAGCAACTTCCAGAGCTTTTTATGCATTTCCAGGCCCAGAGTTTCCATACGTCTATGTACGCATCCTCATGGTTCTTAACTATTTTTCTTACATCTTTCCCACTACCAATTGCAACAAGAATATTTGATATATTTATGTCTGAGGTAAGCTATCACGACTATCAAATAAGATGGATGGCTGTTTGGTTAACATTTTGTGTTTCTGGGGAAGCTGAATTCAAATCCCCATTTATAATGGGTTGTTAATTAAGTTTAGTGTCATTTTCCAATAAATATATCAATGTAAGGCTATTTTAAAAATTCTTAAATAATAAGCATTACAAATATTTATTTGGAAGAAAATAATGATATTATTCACAGGGTTTAGAGATTGTGTTTCGGGTTGGCGTGGCACTGCTTCAGATGAATCAAGCAGAATTAGTGCAACTTGACATGGAAGGGATGTTACAGGTAAGCTAAGCTAAACATGCCATTGTATTGCATTACTTGACACGCGGGGTATAAATCCATATTTCTCACTTCTAACTCTATGCTTTCATTTTCTTTCCAGCACTTTCAAAAGGTTGTGCCACATCAATTTGATGGTGGACCAGACAAGTTAATCCAAATGGCTTACCAAGTCAAATATAATGCAAAAAAGATGAAAAAGTAAGTATTCATTTTCTTTAAAAATGCTACCATGCTATTATTACAAAGAGGTGAATCATTAAATTATGACATTCACTTTCTACATAAGTACCTGAATTTTATTATATAGAAGTTTCTAGAAAGTCTATTTATTTGCCAGACATATAACCAAGAGTTTATTTTCATCCCTAGATAGAAAATGTAGGCACTTCATTTTCTCTCTATAGGGCCTATTCTTCTGGCCTACCCATTATCTCACCTTCTTTTCTTTCACATCCCTGCCTTCCCATAGCCACTGATGTCCCATACAAATTAATATGAACAATAATTAGTAGTAGTAAGTACAGTTACATATTACTAAAAAGAGATTATCATGTCTTTCAATATCCTTTAGGCTAGAAAAAGAATATACTACTATAAAAACAAAGGAAATGGAAGAACAAGTTGAAATTAAGGTAAGTAGTTAATTATTTGAGCAAGGTAATAGGAATTTCACTTTTGTAATAAAAAAATCAGATTGGACAGGATTATTATTACAAAACATATGAAGTATATGTTTGTGGGGTTTATTTCATTTATTTTTATTCTTTTTATATTTTTAATATACCCATGATTAGGATCCTGTTGTAGGGTGTGTGTGTGTTTTTTATGAATGTAACAGGAAATACAGAAATTAATAGAATTATGCTAATTCAGAAGTAGCTTTGAGAATCAGTGTTTTATAAATGGTTGGAATATTGGGTTTCATTTTGAATTAGTTCAAAATTCTCTTCTGTCAGAAGAGCACTGAGACTAATATTGTGTGAGATGTGATGTAAAAGGAAAAATCAAGAATCCATTGTTTTAAGACTTTTGGA